TGGCAGAGAGAAGAGGACGAAAGACAAACCATACGCATCATATCGATGTCAGTAGCACAGGTGGAGGCTGCTCTTGCAGAGGTAATGAAGTATGCAAAGGAGGGCGTCCACTACAACGGTGACAGCAAGTTGTCTTTGCTTCAGGATAGGGTGCCGAGGTACTTCATAGTCGCTGTGGATATGAGATCCACAATCATGGCAAACGGCGAGAGGGCTGTGTCAAAGCACGAACACTCTTGCAACGCTTCAGAGAGTCGCTACATATACGTGTGGACAGCGATGTGGAAGACAGTGCATACAAAAGGAGTGGTCCAGTGGATCTGCAGCGAAGGGATATGCGAAGAAGGAGACGTGGACATGACAATGCAGCAGACAAGGGGGGACATATACACCTGCGAACTTGAGCAAGTTGCTGGGCACTGTTGCACGGAATGGGGGAATGCTGGTTGATGGGTCGAAGGAGTTGAAAAGTGGTACTGCAGAAATATTGGTGTTGTCCAGAATGAAGGACATTACACAAACACCGCCACAAGACTTTCAAGATGTTCCTGTCATTGTCGCAGATGGTGTGGAATATATTCTACTGGATCAACTTGTGGACTTCATGAAAAAGAGTGACGATGACAGGAACGTCATCCATGAGGCGTTGCACGAAGTGACAGAGTTTGCTCTACAGGGTCAAGATCTGATAGAATTTGTACCAGCAATAACAGAAGACAACATTAAATCTGGCAGACCGTTGTGGGGGGAGTTGTTATCAGCTGCTTTGGAGCAGCTCGGTCTTGAAAGTTGCGATGTTGAGAGACAAAGAGAAAGAGAAGAAGGGTGGAAGGTGATGGCCACGGAAACAAATTTAGCAATCATTTCAGACAACGGACAAACATCTGCACCACAAGAATCAATAACCAGTATGGCAGTCGATGTGCCTCCCATGCAGACAACAACGAGAGAGCAGCTAGTGTGTTGCCATATCTTCAATGCTTTCACAATGGAGAAAGAACAGTGTGATCGTGGATTTGAAGAGGCCGTTTTGCCAAGTTGTTGTGCAGAGTACACAGACAGTGCAGAAGAAGAAGATGAAGAAGAGGATGAGGGGGCATCATCTTCTGACGTGGAAGTGAGCGGCAGCGATGTCAGCAGCGACGAGGAAGACGAGAAACATGATGTATACTATGATTTGAAGGCTGCGGGTGGACAAGTGACAAAAGGGTGGGCACATGCAATTCTGAGGTTGGCACGTGTTTTTCCTGATCCGCACAAAGTGCTACGAGTTGTGATGAAGGGGGCAACACCAGATGGTGCACTACAGTATGTCGCAGTGACCAGCATAATGAAATCATGCAACGAGGAGAAAAAGTGGTCACGTGTTGGCAAGGAATGGTTTGTTCTGGTCAATAGAGAGGTTGTGTTAGCAACATCACTGACATGGGGAGTCAACCTGAGTTGCCTCATACACGGCGCAATGGTGACAGCTTGGGGAGAGACATTACACCCCGGCTTGTCAACAGGAGACGCAATAGTTAGTGCTCGGCCACGGCAGCGATCGGAGACACACCCACACCCCACGACAGACCATGTTAGACATCAGGGATGATGACAGATATGCATCCCTCAACCTGTACATCCCTTTATGTCTGCCTCAATTTCAACGACGGTCGGTTTCACTACTGCGTGCCATATCAGTGTCCACCGGTGCCGTTTGTTGTCGTTTTGGCCCGCACTAGTGAACCTCTCTCTCTCTCTCTCTCTCTCTCTCTCTCTCTCTCTCTCTCTCTCTCTCTC